CGCGGCTTTCTGCGCTGGACCAGGATTCCAAGCGCCGCCGTCGGGCAGAACGGCCCTCCCCGGGCGAAACTCTCGAGGGGGTGGGCAAGATAGGGATAAACGCGCATCTAAACGTGATAATGACGGCCTGGCTGCGCCGGCGCATGAACAGGGCAGGATCAAATGCGACTTATATGTGAAGTTGCTGAGATGTCTCTAGGCGGGTGGGATTGCGGCGCTTCCGAGACAAGCTCTTCAGTTGCTGGGGAACGGGGGGTCAGCCTGGGGCGCCCCGTCGAAACGAGCATGTGAACAGAAGCGCCCCCCTGTCAATGGACAGCGGAAGGCGCGCATTGACCCGAGCGCGCCGCTGCCAGCCACTTGGGCTCTTCGACCGATGCGCAGAGAGACGAGGTGGATGCCAAGTACACGGGGGGATCCTTTCGAATTTCATCTTCAGCGGGCTGAGAAGCGCGCGCAAGGTGAATATTCATCGGCAAAGGGCCTTCGGCGAGGCCGTTGCTCTGGAACAGGAAGTCCGGCGCATGTGGGTCGGCTGGGAGCAACAGTCCGACGGCGAGCTCAGCGACGCATCGCAGTGGGCGCGATGGCGAGCGCATCGCTGCTGCGTCTGCTAGAAAGCAACAAAAGTTCCAGGGAGATAAGAACGCCGGCCCCCTCCGCCCTGGATCCGCGCGGTTCGTCGTCGACGCGGGGCGCGGCTCGAACCTGCTTTCTGCCAAGTACTTGAGAGAAGCAGGAATGATAGACAGGATCTCTCCGCTGGCCGCCCCCATTGCCCTGAGTGCGGCGGGCGGCCAGTCTGGAGCTCTTGGCGCGGTCAGGATTGCGGGCGATGAGCTGAATATGGGGGAAGTTTAGAGCATTGTCATGCCAAAGACTCCGAGCTTGATCTCAGTGGGTGAGCTCTGCATGGGCCACGGTTATAGTTTCCATTTGATAACCAGTCGAGCGCCATACCTAATGCTGCCGCAGGGAAGAGAGTTGGACATCTCAGTCGAAGGCAAGATCCCCTATCATCTATGGATGGCATAGGGTCCTTGGGCCAGGTAGACGAGGCAGCTCCCGCCAGCTCGCTTGGGCTTGAGCGGCGGGCGCGCGTGGAGATCGTCGCGAGGTCTGGCCTGGGCGATCCTGGCACGATGGGCGCCCGCCCTTCCGCTCCGAGCAAGCAGGCGCCGCGCATCCCTCGAGCTGCGCTCGCGGGAGGTGATGCCAGAAGGTTCCTATTCAGACGGCAAGCTGAATATCCAGTCGGACGGCGCCAGTGGGCTTCTAGCCACAGACGGGGCAGCTGCACCAAAGTCCTACTTCTACTATTATGATGTGCGTGGCCTCCTCCAGCTGGGAAGATGTCGACTTGCCGCAAAATCTCGTCGGAGGCTTCAAAACAGTCGTTTCCTGCGTTTCCGACGTAGTCCCAAAACAGTTCGAATAAATATATCAAAAACAATGCTCGTTCGCAAAATTTGGATAGTGCGAAAAAAATAGTTCAACGTTTGTCTGGGCCTGCCTCGGGCCCGCAGCGCACCGCCCCCGAAGAACCCCGGCGCGCGTTGAGTGCGACGCGTTGTTTGGCGGGGTTCAGCTCCTTTCCCACGGGTGCGATGCGAGGTTCCGTCTGATTCCACTTAGGCCCTCCCAGGCGCCGCCCCCGCGCCCCCCGGGCAGGGCGCGCGCCGACGCGACGTCCGCGCTATTCTGTTTTGAGAAAGGGGTGGCGGGTAATGAGCGATGGGGAGGGGCAACAAACAGTCGGGGGCTGGGCGGGGATGGGCGGGGGAGGGCACATGGCAGAAGGGGAGGGCGGTGACGAGGGGGCGCAAGCGCCCCTTGCCCCCCCCCCCCCTTCCCCCCTCCAGGGGATTCAAGGCGCCCCCCCCCCTCCCCTATTGCCAGCGGCAGCGTCATCGCCATCGTCGCCACCGCGCATTGCCGTTTCGGCCCATGCATTTCACTTATTAGCCAGGCTTCGGCACTCTGTGCCCACTTCTTGCGGCAGCGCCGCGATGGCGGATGGCTGGGACGACGTGCTCGCCGAGGTTGCGGGGGGGGGCCGTCGGGAAGCTGCTGCGACCGACCTCGCTGGCCGAACCAACGCCTTGGCGCTGCCCCGGGCGCAGCGCCCGTCCAAGGCGAAGTTGCCCATGGTGCCCAAGCACATGGTCGAGGGCACAGGCCGAGGATCTGCTGGTCAGTGGCCGTTGCTCCCGCGCGCGCGCGTGGCAGCGCTCGCGGTGGAGTGTCAGAAAGCATCCGACGACGACGCGCCCGCGAAGCTCAACCGCATGTTGATGGATGCATCATCAGACCTGGCTGGCAGAACGACGTCAAAGGCATCGATCCAGGCTCCTGTAGGCGATGCCCCTGGGAGCTACACCGAGTGCGCGATCGCCCGGGCCGACGCCATCGCCCACTTCGAGCGGGGCCAGAAAATTGCATTGGCTAGCTTTTTGGCATGTAATGTTCCCAAGGGGAACTTACTCCACCACGTCGAGGCGGTCAGATACGGCGAGACGCCGGCGGCGCTTTCCGTGAACGATTCCTTCCAAAAGCGCGGTCGCGGCGCAGTGGCCCCTCCTCGCCCCGATGAACAGCAGCAGGCGGCGGTGTACCAAATGGGTGAATGTTGAAAATGGGGGAAGCCGAAGTTGGAGAGAACCGTCATCAAGTTGTTGCAGAGCTCGTCGAGGTTCGGGTTTCTTCTGAAGACCAGCACGGGCGAGTTCGTCGGCGTCGTCGGCGCGCCCAGTGCTCCGATTCAGTGGCTGGGTCGCAACGCTGGGGAGTGTCTTCGAGAGGTGGGCCAACGTCGCGCCATTGCTGTAGGGCTGGCTGCTAAAGACTTTGCGTGCAAGACGCGCGCGTCAGTCCTGGGCGGCGCTGGCCCGAACGCCCGCTGCGGGGCGCAGCTCGGGGGTGGCCGACGAGGCGACGGCTGGGGCAAGATGGGTTTTACGTGCTCCACCCATTGCCTCGCGAACGTCTGCGCGTGCGCCTCCGACCTGGCGGGATCCGACGATTCTGGGCAGATCAATTTCGCACTTGCCGTCAACGAAGGCTCGGGCTTTTCTTTTTTCTGTCGGATATTCCGCGCTTTGGTTCAACAACGGATGCGCATCCGCAGGGGGGGGGGGGCCAGAAGCAATTCCGTGCAAGCGGCGCTTGCTTTGCCTTTCGCATGCAAGGGGGAGTCGACTGATCGAGAAGAAGACCGCTTTGCACTTATTGCCGAACGGGGACTGGACGAGAGCGAGATGAAGAAGTCGATGTCGGAGGCCCTGGAGGTCGTCCTCTTGGGAGCTCGATGCGCCCGATGGCCGAGGAGCAGGTGGGCGGGGCCCGACATTGCCATGGACAAGTTCATCCTACTTGATGGCATTCGCGGCTTGGGCCCTGCTGTCTGGGCTATCTGGGCGAAAGAGATGGCTCGGGGCTCCAAGAAACGACCTCGGCCAGGCGATGGCGGGCCTCTGCCAGCTGCTGCTGCTGCTGCTGGGCCTGGCGCCGCCGATGGCGGCGAGGGCGGCGCAGCAGAGGCTGCGGCTGCCAGCGGCGGCGATGGGCAGGGCCATGGAGATTTCAATGCAAAGCGGCTGGAGAATGAGTGCCATCGCAGCACCGCTGGAGATTGGATAAACACGTCGCCGTTGGACAGAGTAGTGATCATTCGGCAGGTGCTGGTGCTTTGGCGTCGGGCGATGGGTTGGCACCTCGAAGTTGGCGGCAAGCACTGGGAGAAAAAGCAGAGGGGCATGGCTGTCCAGGCTGAGTCTACGGGCGGCGCCAGTTCGACGAGCAGGAGGTGGCCGATCGTGGAGGCTGCGCTTGGTACCCCTGCGCGCGTCTTCAAGGCTGCGTTGGGCCCGCTGTTTCGCGAGCGCGTTCTGTGGAAGGACCTCGTGCAGCCGTCGGCGATAACTCGGAAGGCGCGCGCCCCCGCGCTCAAGCTTCTTTCGAGGTCTGATTTCCAGGTTCGGGAGGTGTTCACGCATCGGCATAATCTGCTTCCGACTCGCATCTTCGCCACGATCGTGGACCCAGCCATTGCGCGGGAAGTGAGTGACCTCCACAATTGCCTCACGGACAGATGGACGAAGGACTTCGTGCTGCGATATAAGGACGCGGAAGGAGGCTTGTCGAACCCTGCGGCGATCGCAGAGTTGGACCTGCTTGCCGCCGTGATCGACTTGGACATCAAGGCTATTGAGTCACGCCACGCCTCGATCCGCAGGCGGCTGATGGTTACGCGGCAACGTTCGCGGACTCGTCGGCCGAATGGGTGGTTGCCCAAGCTCGTTTATCAGGCAGGGCGTTTCGAGCAGCAGTCGGTGAGGGGGGCGCGCCAGCAGGTGGTGGCCATGACGCAAGGGGTCCTGACGGGCCGCCAGAGGGCGAGGAGGCTACCAGTGCCAGGGGCACGGTGTCTTCGTGGCATGCCCTCCTGAGGGAGCACACCCTTGGTCAGACTGGCCGCCAGTGCATCGCCGCCTTGGGCGCTGCGTACCACGCTTTAAATACCCAGAGCAGAGGTCGCGAGGCTGGCTGCCGTCGCAGCCGCGGCCCATGATTGGTAGCCTCCACGAGAAGCGAGCCGAGGTGGGTCCCTCCCCCCGGGGAGGGTGGGGTCCACGGTCGGGCCTTCTCTGCCCGCGCATCGCCCCGCTACTGGCGCGCACAAGCGCCCACAGTACCTCCCACCCCCTCGTGGTGCTCACCATCGTCACGCGTGTCCCTTTTTATTTTCGCTCTCTTTCGACCTCCTGGTCTTCTCTTCCCTCCCCCCGGCGTTGGCTAGGCGGAAGGGGTTCGAGGTTTTCGGTCGACGACTGTCCGCAGTCACGAGTCACGAAGAGGAGGATGAGGAGGAGGAGGAGGAGGAGCAGGAATAGCAGGAGAAGGATGAAGGAAAGGAGGAGGAACGAGGAGGACGAGGATGACGTTGATTGGGACGAGAAGGGCCTGGCCCCTAGGGATGGCCCAGCCGACCGCGGCACCAGACACATCCGCGAGACGCGGTCCCGCGTGGAGGAGACCGCTTGGGCGCGCCATGCCTTTGAGAGGGGGGGGGCGGCACTCTGAATGGTAAGGCGTTGGGGGGCAGTCGGGGGCGTCGAAGGCGGAGGGTTGGAAGGGGTTTTCTCTGGTCTCTGGAGGTTTTATCGCCCCAGAGTGCTTTCTAGCAGCGGCGCCTCGTCAAGAGTTTGCTGGGGGTGCCCCGATCGTTCCGAACGGCCGCCGGAGGCTTGAATCATATCGAATGTTGATCGAAGAGGGGTTTGAGGACTCGTGACTAGGGATGCGCGGGGGGGGGGGGGGAGGGCAGCACACCCAGATACGCGGGCCGCCGCCGTCGCATCGCACGCCATGATCGGCAAGCCGCACACCAAAGGTCATTCTTGCCCTGGGAGGAGGGAGGAGGGGGGAGAGTGGTGGTAAGGCTTTCCACCTCCCCTCCCTCAAGGTGGAGCCCTGGCAAGCATTAGTGGACCAGGCCGCTGGAGGAGAGGGTAGGAGTGGAGCCTTCTCACGCTCGTGCCAGGCAGCTGGGAGCTCTGACCTGTCGCCTGCTCCGCTAAGCTCTGAGTTCTGAGTGACAAAAGGCCCCGGAGTGGCGCACCACAGGTAGCCCCCCGAGGCAGTCGCCCAGGCTGGCCTCAGTAGCCTCCCTGAGCAGTCCAGGGCCCCTCGCCCCGAGAGGCAGGGCCCACTCCGACTCGATCGGTCCGCTTCGATTTCGAGTTCGCCGGCTCGATTGCACTGCGCTGTTGTGCATCCTGGCGCGGCCGATCTGGTCCGATCCGATTTCGACCCCGTGCCGATGCGGCACCATCCGACGCACGTTCCTCGAATATTAGAAAACGGCACGTACATAAACGTTTGGAGGTCCGCGCGGATTTCTCGGATCGGCGCTGGACCCCCTCCTTGGCGCGCGGAGTGCGTCAGGGGCGGCGCCGGCGGCGCCGCCAGGGGGGCCAGCGCTGGTCCAAGAAGCACAAGCGGACCTCCGATAGTTCATATACGCATGCATGGATTCTGCGATTCCTCTAGGTAAGGCTTTGGCCCAAAGCCTTAACTTACCTAGAGGAAATACAGTATACAGTATATGCGTCACACAATATCTATATATAATGATATATGATCCATATGAGACATATATATGTCTCATATGGAGGCATGGGCTTTCAATAGGAATCATTTTTCTAAGAGGCTCTCATTCGGAATCCTTGTGTAGAGGCTTTCAACAGGAATCATGTGGTAGAGACTCTCAATGGGAATCTTGTCGTGGAGGGTCTGAACAGGAATACTTTTGCACATATTTTCAACAGGAAACCATGTGTATAGACTACCAGTAGTATTCATTTTGTATTGGCTTTCACTAGGAATCCTTTTTGTAGAGGCTCTCAAAAGGAATATTTTTGTAAAGGCTTTCAAAAGGAATCCTTTTCGGAGAGGCTCTGAATAGGAATCCTTTTTGTAGAGGCTCTCAATGGGATTTTTGTGTGGAGGCTCTCAACAGGAATCCTTTGCACAGGCTCTCAATAGGAATACATGTGCATTGGGTTTCAATGGGGATCCTTTTGTAAAGGCTTTCAATCGGATCCTTTCGTCGAGGCTCTCAACAGGAAGCCTTTTGCACAGGCCCCGAAGAGAAATCCATTTGTATTGGGTTTCAATGAAGCATCCTTTTGTAGAGGCTTTCAACCGGAATTCTTTTTATAGAGGCTCTCGATAGGAATCAGGTTGTAGAGGCTCTCGATACGAAGCCATGTGCACTGCGTTACAATAATAATCATTTTGTATTGGCTTTCAATCGGAATCCTTTTTGTAGAGGCTCTCAATCGGAATCCTTGTGCAAACGCTTTCAATAGGAATCTTGTTGTAAAGGCTTTCGATAGGAATCCTTGTCGTAGAGGCTCTGAATAGGAATCATTTTGTCGAGGCTCTCAGCAGAAATCCTTTTGCACAGGCTTTCAATAGGAATCCATATGTATTGGGTTTCAATCGGAGTCGTTTTGTATTGGCTTTGAATCGGAATCCTTTTTGTTGAGGCTCTCAATAGGAATCATGCTGTAGAGGCTTTCAATAGGAATCGTTTTGTAGAGGCTCTCAATAATAATCCTTTTGTAGAGGCTCTCAATAAATCCTTTTGCAGAGGCTCTCACTAGGAATCCTTTTGTAGAGGCTCTCACTAGGAATCCTTTTGTGGAGGCTCTCACTAGGAATCCTTTTGTAGAGGCTCTCAATCGTAATCCTTTTGTAGAGGCTCTCAATAGGAATCATGCTGTAGAGGCCAGCGCGACATGAAAAAAACAAAAACAAACACAAGGACATACAAACCAAACCAAAGACACCAAAGCCTTAAGACTGGAAGGCTAAAAAGCCGTCTTGCAAGCCGTCTTGTCCGCGAAACGGTCGATGCCGACCACCCACCCGAAGGGCTTGCGCGATGAGACAGAACGCCGTTCAGAAAGTACAGCAAAACAGTAACTGCGACAGGAGGAGGACGAGGAGGAGGAGGAGGGGGAGGAGGGGGAGGAGGGGGAGGAGGGGGAGGAGGGAGAGGAGGGGGAGGAAGAAGGGGAGGGGGGGAGGAGGAGGGGGGAGGAGGGCGAGGAGGGGGAGGAGGAGTCAGCGAAAACGGTTGAGATAACAAAAACACACACACACAAAAAAAAAATACAAACACACTATGATTTCGGGAGAATTTCTGGGGAGGGGGGGGGGGGCAAGAGTCTCTCGAAATCATAGTTTTCGGTTTTTTTGTTTGTTTGTTTTTTTTGGGGGGGTTCTTTTTCCCAACCATCCTGTGGTGTTGGGTCTTCGTTTTGAAGAGACGGTGCCCCGCGTTCCTCTCCTCTCCTCTCCTCCTCTTCCCCCTCCTCCCTCCTCCCATCAGCATCATCATCATCGTCATCATCAGCATCGTCATCATCATCATCATCATCATCATCATCATCATCATCATCATCATCATCATCATATCGTCATCACCCACCATCATCGTCATCATCACCATCATCGTCACACCGCTCACACGTTTCGTGGCCCCATAGGGAGCTCCACCGAAGGCCCCAGTGCTGCCGCCCGCATGCGTCAGCCTTACCCAATTCGGCACACCCCTCACACGTTTCGTGGCACCATAGGGAGCTCCACCGAAGGCCCCAGTGCTGCCGCCCGCATGCGTCAGCCACACCCAGTTCGGCACACCCCTCACACGCTTCGTGGCCCCAAAGGGAGCTCCACCAAAGGCCCCAGTGCCGCCGCCCGCATGCGTCAGCCACACCCAATTCGGCACACCCCTCACACGTTTCGTGGCCCCATAGGGAGCTCCACCGAAGGCCCCAGTGCCGCCGCCCGCATGCGTCAGCCACACCCAATTCGGCACACCCCTCACACGTTTCGTGGCCCCATAGGGAGCTCCACCGAAGGCCCCAGTGCCGCCGCCCGCATGCGTCAGCCACACCCAATTCGGCACACCCCTCACACGCTTCGTGGCCCCATAGGGAGCTCCACCGAAGGCCCCAGTGCCGCCGCCCGCATGCGTCAGCCACACCCAATTCGGCACACCCCTCACACGCTTTCGTGGCCCCATAGGGAGCTCCACCGAAGGCCCCAGTGCTGCCGCCCGCATGCGTCAGCCACACCCAATTCGGCATACCCCTCACACGTTTCGTGGCCCCATAGGGAGCTCCACCGAAGGCCCCAGTGTCGCCGCCCGCATGCGTCAGCCACACCCAGTTCGGCACACCCCTCACACGTTTCGTGGCCCCATAGGAAGCTCCACCAAAGGCCCCAGTGCCGCCGCCCGCATGCGTCAGCCACACCCAATTCGGCACACCCCTCACACGTTTCGTGGCCCCATAGGGAGCTCCATCGAAGGCCCCAGTGCTCCCGCCCGCATGCGTCAGCCACACCCAATTCGGCACACCCCTCACACGTTTCGTGGCCCCATAGGGAGCTCCACCGAAGGCCCCAGTGCCGCCGCCCGCATGCGTCAGCCACACCCAATCGGCACACCCCTCACACGTTTCGTGGCCCCATAGGGAGCTCCACCGAAGGCACCAGTGCCGCCGCCCGCATGCGTCAGCCACACCCAAGTTCGGCACACCCCTCACACGTTTCGTGGCCCCATAGGGAGCTCCACCGAAGGCCCCAGTGCCGCCGCCCGCATGCGTCAGCCACACCCAATTCGGCACACCCCTCACACGTTTCGTGGCCCCATAGGGAGCTCCACCGAAGGCCCCAGTGCTGCCGCCCGCATGCGTCAGCCACACCCAATTCGGCACACCCCTCACACGCTTTCGTGGCCCCATAGGGAGCTCCACCGAAGGCCGCAGTGCCGCCGCCCGCATGCGTCAGCCACATCCAATTCGGCACACCCCTCACACGCTTCGTGGCCCCAGCCCGCATGCGTCAGCCACACCCATTTCGGCACACCCCTCACACGTTTCGTGGCCCCATAGGGAGCTCCACCGAAGGCCCCAGTGCCACCGCTCGCATGCGTCCCGCACACCCATTTCGGCACCTCCACCAAACACAGCGTTTCGTGGCCCCACAGGGACCTCCACCGAAGGCCCCAGTGGTGCCGCCCGCATGCGTCACCCCCACCCCAGCACAGCATTTCGTGGCCCCACAGGGAGCTCCACCGAAGGCCCCAGTGGTGCCGCCCGCATGCGCCACCCCCACCCAGCACAGCGTTTCGTGGCCCCACAGGGAGCTCCACCGACGGCCCCAGTGGTGCCGCCCGCATGCGTCACCCCCGCCCAGTACAGCGTTTCGTGGCCCCACAGGGACCTCCACCGAAGGCCCCAGTGGTGCCGCCCGCATGCGTCACCCCCACCCAGCACAGCGTTTCGTGGCCCCACAGGGAGCTCCACCGAAAGCGGCACCCGCAATGCGATATTCACAACTGCACATGGTTGGGTCCTTCGCCCGGATATTTTTTTGTTTTTTGTCCACGGGGGGTCGCTGTTTTTCGCAATGCCGATCATGTCTCGCAGGTTCTCGAAGGCGTTCGAAGAGGAGGGGGAGGAGGAGGAGGAGGAGGAGGAGGAGGAGGAGGAGGAGGAGGAGGAGGAGGAGCGACGACGAGCAAGAAGAAAAATAAGAAGAACATGTATGATCATGTGGGGGGGCTACCATATGCTTTCCCCCCCACACACATGATCATACATTTTATCCCCTCCCTCATCTGCTCCCTGCTCTCCGTCGCACTTCCTCATCCTTTTATCCTCCTTCAGCGGGGTGCGTTGGGGCCTGCCCCGTCAGCTGCTCCTCTCCTTGGGCGGCAAGGACAAAACGATCGAGTGATCGACGTCATATTTTCTCTCGCTTGCAAGCTTGCTTTCAGTCACTGCCTTGATGAGCGTGCCATCCATCCATCCATCAGCGGGGCAGTGCGCCCTCGGGCTGAGGGCGGCGGCGGGGCACTGCAACCTCGGGCTGAGGGCGGCACGCTTTTTAGTATTCTCTCGCCGCTGGATCCCCGTCCTTCTGTACCCTCAGGAGGGGAATGATGATGAGGAAGAGAGGGATCAGGAGAGTGAAGAACTCGATCATATGAGCGAGGAGGAAGAGGAGCTAGATAAGACGAGTGCGACCCCGACGATGATGACGAGGATGATGATGACGATGCTGATGATGACGATGATGATGATGCTGATGATGACGACGACGATGATGATGATGATGATGATGAGCAGGATTGCGGAGGATGAGGAACTGAACGCGCTGAGAAAGGGATCCTTTTGCACAGGCTCCCAATAGGAGCCCATTTTGCACAGGCTCTCGACAGGAATCCTTCTGCACAGGCTCTCAATAGGAAGTCATTTGTATTGCGTTTCGATAATATTATTTTTGTATTAGCTTTCAAAAGGAATCCTTTTTGCAGAGGCTCTCACTAGGAATCCTTGTGTAGAGGCTTTCAATAGGAATCGTTGCGAAGAGGCTCTCAATAGGAATCCTTGCGTAGGGGCTCTCAATGAGAATCCTCTTGTGGAGGCTCTCAACAGGAATCATTCTGCACCGGTTCTCAATAGTAATGCAGTAGTCTTGTGTTTCAGTCGGGATCATTTTTGTATTTGCTCTCACTAGGAATTCTTTTTTGTAGAGGCTCTCAATAGGAATCCTTCTGTAGAGGCTCTCAATAGGAATCGTTTTGTAGATGCTCTCACTAAGAATCATTGTGTAGAGGCTCTCGCTCGTATTCCTTTCGTGGAAGCTCTCACTACGAATCCTTCTGTAGAGGCTCTCAATGATAATTTTTTCCGTTGAGGCTGTCAACACGAATGGTTTTGCACAGGCTTTCAATAGGAAACCATTTGTATTGCGTTTCAATAATAATCCTTTTGTATGGGCTTTCAATAGTAATTATTTTTGTTAGAGGCTCTCATTCGGAATCCTTGTGTAGAGGCTTTCAACGGGAATCATTTTGTAGAGACTCATTGGGAATCTTGTCGTGGAGGGTCTGAACAGGAATGCTTTTGCACAGGCTTTCAACAGGAAGCCGTGTGTATTGACTTCCAGTCGTATTCATGTTGTATTGGCTTTCAATAGGAATATTTGTTGTAGAGGCTCTCAATCGGAATCTCTTTGTAAAGGCTTTCAAAAAGAATCCTTTTCGTTGAGACTCTGAATGGGAATCCTTTTTGTAGAGGCTCTCAATAGGATTTTTGTGTGGAGGCTCTCAACAGGAATCCTTTGCACAGGCTGTCAATAGGAATACATGCGTATTGAGTTTCAATGGGGATCCTTTTTGTAAAGGCTTTCAATCGGATCCTTTCGTCGAGGCTCTCAACAGGAAACCTTTAGCACAGGCTCCCAAGAGAAATCCAGTTGTATTGGGTTTCAACGAAGCATCCTTTTGTAGAGGCTTGCAACAGGAATTCTTTTTATAGAGGTGTTCAATAGGAATCAGGTCGCAGAGGCTCTCAATAGGAAGCCATGTGTACTGCGTTACAATAGTAATCATTGTGTATTGGCTTTCAATAGGGATCCTTTTTGTAGAGGCTCTCAATCGGAATCCTTGTGTAAAGGCTCTCAATAGGAATCTTGGTGTAAAGGCTTTCGATAGGAATCCCTTTCGTAGAGGCTCTGAATAGGAATCATTTTGCCGAGGCTCTCAGCAAAAATCCTTTTGCACAGGCTTGCAATAGGAATACAGATGCATTGGGTTTCAATAGGAGTCGTTTTGTATTGGTTTTGAATGGGAATCCTTTTTGTTGAGGCTCTCAATAGGAATCATGCTGTAGATGCTGTCAATAGGAATTGTTTTGTAGAGGCTCTCAATAGGAATCCTTTTGTAGAGGCTCTCAATAAGAATCCTTTTGCAGAGGCTCTCACTGGGAATCCTTTTGTAGAGGCTCTCGATAGGAATCCTTTTGTGGAGGCTCTCACTAGGAATCCTTTTTGTAGAGGCTCTCAATCGTAATCCTTTTGTAGAGGCTCTCAATAGGAATCATGCTGTAGAGGCCAGCGCGACATGAAAAAACAAAAACAAACACAAGGAAGTACAAACCAAACCAAAGACACCAAAGCCTTAAGACTGGAAAACTAAAAAGCCGTCTTGCAAGCCGTCTTGCCCGCTAAACGGTCGATGCCGACCACCCACCCGAAGGGCTTGCGCGATGAGACAGAACAGCAAAACAGTAACTGCGACAGGGGGAGGACGAGGAGGAGGAGGAGGGGGAGGAGGGGGAGGAGGGGGAGGAGGGGAGGAGGGGGGGGGGAGGAGGAGGGGGGGGGGGGGAGGAGGAGGGGGGGGGGGGAGGGCGAGGAGGGGGAGGGGGGGAGCCGGACTGGGGAGGAGGAGTCAACGAAAACGCTTGGGATAACCACCACCACCACCCCCCCAACAAAAAATCGGGAGAACTTCTGGGGAGGGGAGGGTGGGGGGGGCAAGGTTCTCCCGAAATCATAGTTTTTTTTTGTTGGGGGGGTGTTTTTTTCCCCAGGGGGGTCGCTGTTTTTCGCAATGCCGATCATTGCTCGCAGGTCTTCGAAGGCGTTCGTAGAGGAGGGGGAGGAGGAGGAGGAGGAGGAGAAGGAGGAGGAGGAGGAGCAGCGACGACCAGCAATAATAAAATAATAAGACCATGCATGATCATGTGTGTGGGGGGCTACCATCTCTCTCTCTCTCTCTCTATATATATATATATATATATATATATATATATTCATGTACATATATATATGTTTATATGTGCATATGTGTATATATACATTTTTGTATATACACCAGTTGTTCAACCATCTCGACATGCAATATATATATATATGTGTGTATATATATGTATGTATGTATATACACACATGCATATGTATGTATGTATGTATGTATGTATGTATGTATGTATGTATGTATGTATGTATGTGTGTATGTGTATATATAGGCCGGTGTGAAATGATATAGGTTTGTTCTCATATCGCCAGATAGTTATATGGTGTGGCAACTACATAGTGCGGGAAATTATCGGTGAAATATTATATTGGAGGGCGCTACGGGGAGGGACATCCCAGCCTCACAAGTAATGCTCTTTTCTAATGGATGTGTTCCACAGAAAGTTTGGGGATCATCGGGGGCGTCGACGATGGGGGCGACGAATGGCGACGACATGGGGTGATGGAGTGTTCCAGATTCGATGCCCCCCTCTCTTTCTTTCCTTGCATCGCATGGTGCGCTAGCTCCCTGCTGTTCCAGGCCCCTCCTCGGTTTGCCTCGCGGACTCAGGGGTCTCGGCACAGCGCCCGAGCCACTCCTCCTCACCCTCCTCCTCCTCCTCCTCCTCCTCCTCCTCCTCCTCCTCCTGCTCCTCGTCCTCCTCGTCCTCCTCGCCCTCTGCCGTGCCTGCGATTTTCGGCGGCGCTCCAGTACGGTTGTGGCTTCTTGCGTTCTCGCCAGTTTCACGGTCTAGCGGCACTACTGAATGTGTTCTTGGAGAATGCGTCCAGGTTCTCTTCGATGCTGGCCGCTCCCGCTCTGGGTGCTCCCTCTGAGACGGGCCAGGAGGGCCCCAAGAGGGTTCCAAGACCGTCCAAGGGGCCGCCGAGACGGCCCGAGAGCTTTCCAGGACGACCAAGATGGCCGCAAGAGGGCCCCAGATGCCCCACGAACGCTCCAGGAGGGCTCCACGAGGGCCCCCCCCTGGCCCGAGAGGCCCCAGAGGCGAGGGCTTCAAGATGGCCTCAAGACGGCCCAGAGGCCCCACTGACGCTCCCAAAGGGCTTCGCGAGGGCCCCGTCAGAGGGTCCCCCCCCTTCCCCTTCGAGGAGACCCTGGAACTGCTGAGGGCTGCGGCGGAGAGTGGCGGGACCGACTCGGGCTGGCAGGAGACGTCTGGGCCAGGCTACCGGATCCGCGGCGGCTCGCGCCGGGCCCGGCGGGCGCCACCCAGTCGTCGTCGCCGCCGCCGTGCTTGCTCGTCGCCGTCGTGCCCGTCGACGTCGCATTCGTCGCCGTCGGTCGGAGGACGGGGAGGGGGTGCTCTGGAGGGAGGGGGGAGGTGACCGAAAACGGCCCCCCTTCCTTGGTTGATGCTCCTGAGTATTTTGAGACGAGTGCTCGCGGCGCTAAGGAAAGGTCCTAGTTTTGAGAACGACCTCCCTCCATCCCATATTTTTGTGAAGTCTCATGTGACACGCCGGGGCCGCCCTATCGACACGCGAGGGGGTGCGACGGGCATACCCTCCTCATCCCCCCCTTTCCTTCCACTTGTTTCACGAATCCTCCCCCGCTGTCGCATATCCAGACGTGTCGGTAGGGCGGGCCAGGCGTTTCGCTGGAGATTTCTTCCGCACTGATGACCCCTAAGCAAATTTAAAAACAGCTTCAAGGATGGAGGGGCGTCATTTACAAAATCGGGCTCTCGCCCTTGCGTCGCGCGCATTCGTTTCGAAAGGAACTGTAACAGCTGCAAGTATAGAGGGTGGGTCGTTTTCAAATTGGGGTTCTTGCTTTAGCACCGCGCACTTTCTCTTGACAGTTTGCAGCAGCTTCTAGGTTGGATGGCGGCCTCTTTTCAAAATTGGCCTATTGCCGTAGCGCCGCGCGCCTTCGTCTTCAAAGGTGGGCGGCTCCTTTTCAAAGTGGGCTTTTTACTTGAGGCTTCTGTCAATTCAAAAAGCAGAAGTTTGAGCAGGTGCAATAGCTGCGCGGATGGAGAATGCGTGTGCAAAAGGATGGAGAATGCGAGGTGGTGGAATAGCTGCGCAATAGCTGCAATAGCTGCAAAACATACCAAGAGCATAATGATGAATCTGTAGTGCACCTAAAAGGGTCGGTTCCCTTTCATATAAAGGGGTTATCGCTTGAGACTTCTTTCGTGTTCATGACCAGAAGTGGAAATTTCTGCAAGAGCTCAAACATGTGGCTTTTTTTTCAAAATGGTGATCTCGCTGGACCCCTCGTTGAATTGCATGATCATCCCTTTTTGCGTGTCCCGTATTATCCGCTAGAAGGATGGGAGGCACTTCCTTTTCAAAAAAAGGCTTCTCGTCTGAATGACAGGCCCATCGGGGTGCTGGTCTTTCAAGGGGGCGCTTCTTGAAGAGGAAAGGAGGGTTTGTGGGAACCGATTCGGCCTGGGTTTGTGACGGGAAGGTGCGTTGCAGCATCGCATAGACGCGTGTGCGGATTGCCTCTGCCGTGCTGCGACGTAAAAAGCGTTGCAGCATCGTTGATGCCTCCTCCTCCTCCTCCTCCTCCTCCTGCTCCCTCCTCCCCCTCGTCTTCCTGAGGCTAGCATTGAGCATAAGCTGTTGGAGGTCAGCGCGGGTTTCTTGGGTCGCGATAGCTTTCCTCCCCACACCCTGGCGGCGCCGCTGGTTGCGACCCTGGCGCGCGGAACGTGCCGAGGAAGGGGTGAGTGTGGGGGGTCCAGGGCCAAGCCAAGAAATCCGCGCGGACCAGCGCTTATTTTTTGAAGCGTGCAATTTTATATCTTTCAGTCTAGTGGCGGTTTTCGCCCGCTGGGGACCCCCAGCAGGCTTCTCGTCGCTGGGGCTGAGTCGTATAAATGTGCCTACTGTCAAGGCGCTGAATTTAAGACCACGTTGGGTTCATGAGGGGCTCTGTGTTTGGGGGTCGTTCCTCAGATTCGAGTCGCGGCAAATATTAGTGGCCGAGGCTTGCCGCTGCTGGAAAAGACCAGTCGTTCCTTATTCAGCGTTCCGTATGGTAGCACGATGACTTCACCACCCCTACCAGAAAGCTGGGCGCGCGTGATGTGGCCAGCCTGGGCGAGGGATGGACTGGTCAAGCACCCGGGTCCCCCCAGGGGCGCGAATGTAATCGCGCTTCGCGCGTCGCAGTCTGGGTCAGACTGGCTGCCCTTCTCCAAGGGAGCGGCGCATGGGCGCGAGAGCGAGCAGCTAACCGCGCGTCGCGTATCGCGGGGCGCGATGCGCGAAGGCAGGTGACCTTGAAGCACGCGGCCGCAAGTCTTTCCAGCGCTCGGCCCTCGTGCCGCCAGCTGCGCCATCCCAGTGCGCGCGGTCTCGGCGAGCTCTGGGTGTGCATCCGGCCGCGCCTGTGTAACGATCCGCGCGGCGTCAGAAACCAGCGCCGCCGTCGTCGCGACCTGGGCCTGCCGCGCTGGGTTCACGCGGTCCACACCCGGAGGCGCCCTTTCTGCGGGAGGGAGGCCGGCGGATCCTGTACAAGTACGACGGGTCCACCGGCGAGGCCGAGGTCGTCCTGGCGTCGCGGTGGCGGCGAGTCGCGAGGCTGGAGACAGAGGAGAAACTTGATCCAGACCGCAAGCGCCCAGGAAGCGTCAACGGCGGCGAGCTTTCGCCACTTGGGGCGTCAGGGGGCCGTGCTCTGGCCCTGGGGCCGTCGACGAGCAATGCGGAACGCAGAGCCCAGGCGACGCATTGACAAACAACAAACAACGGCATCGGATCTCCGGGAGCGGACGTGTTCCCGCGCCCCACAGCGCGAGGCACTGAAAGGGGTTCTACTCTCAGGGCGGTCCAGGACAGGCCTCGCTCTCGGGGGCTCGAAAGGTTGATTGGCGGAGGCCGGCGGACGCAGAACTTGACGAGTGCTGACGAGAGGAGCGTCGGTTCATCGCGCTGCACGCGGTTCTGCCCGCCCCGTGGCGCGGGTCCCAGAGCAGCCAGGACGGGGCCCGGGGAAGGCACGTAGGACCTAAGGGAGCGAGGTACCCATCCATAAGGGAGCCTGTTGGGCTCAGCGAATCGGCAACCCAGCGGACAGTCGGGTCACCCAGCGGCATGTGGCCGCTGGGTGCCACGAGTGATTGACGCAAAGACGGACAATCCAGGAAGCCCCCTTAAGAGGTTCGTTCGCTCCCTGATGTCGAGTCTGTACAGATGGAGGATGGTCACCCGTTGGGGAGGCGGCGGGGGGCACATGTGCTTGATTGCTGCCTTCGCCACGGAAGAAAAGGTAGTCATCCTTTCTGTACTCCTCTAGTTCGTAATTTCGCAGTCCAGGTTCCGTTCTGTCTTGTTCGTGGCTTCCCTAGAGCTATACGAACGGAAGCGTGTCCTTTTACTTGTCTCTGTCTTCTGCCCGCATCCGCTACAACCGGCTGGATTAAAAAGTGTAGGCCGTGGGGGTCGAGGAAGACACGTTTGGCCTCCCGTGCGGCCGCGGGGCCCCGGGACAATGTTGGAGACGGGGACGATTTGGGAATGTGTGATGCATCTCTCACCCCTTTTTTATTACTATAGCGGCCAAGTGGGGTCAGCGTCTGAAAGTGCGATTCCGCCCAAGACTTTCTCGCAACAGCTTTCTGATGGCTTTCCGAGGCGATCTGAAAATTTGCCATATCATCTGGAAATGGTGATTTCGCGTGAGACTCCCGCAAAACAAATTGTCAGTCCGATCTTCATGCCGCTTGAGAGTGGCGATATTGCTTGAGAATTGCCCAGGGGTTCTTTTTCCGGCCGCTTTTCACGCCGCCAGAGAGTGGCGGTTTCGTTAACAACCGCGCGTCTCGCCCACCCTTGCGGCGCCGCTCCTCCGTTCGGGTCACGAGCCTATCTCGGAATCATCTTCGGATCGATCTAAGATCGAAGCTCGAGGTTTAATTTGCAAAGACCCAGGGGTTGTTCCCTTGCGCAATGCCGATCAATATTTTTCAATCCAGGGGGCGTTGCAAAAAAAAACGCTCGGTGTAGGCAGTCTGCCCGGATCTCGAACGAAATGGTGAGTGCGGGTCGCTGTAGTGGACGCAGGATGTGCACGCTTTTGTGGAGCATGGAGAAACATACAAAAATGACATGTTTCAGCGCGCTGGCGGCAGTCATTATAGAAAAACGTTCGGTGTGGAGTAGAAGCAGGATGTGCGCGCTTTTGCGGAGCATGGACGAACGTACAAAAGAGACGTGATTCAGCGCGCTGGCGGCGGCTATTCCAAAAAACTTTCGGTGCGGGCAGTCTGCCCGGAGCTCGAACGAAATGGTGAGTGCGGGTCGCTGTAGCAAACGCAAGATGTGCGCGCTTTTGTGGAGCATGGAAAAACGTAAAAATCAGACGTGATTCAGCGCGCTGGCGGCAGTCATTACACATGTTTTCATAAATCGAAAAACACGTTTGGCGTGGGCAGCCTGCCCGGATCTCGAATGAAATGGTGAGCGTGGGTCGGTGTAGTGGACGCAGGATGTGCGCGCTTTTGTGGAGCATGGACAAGCGTACAAATAAGATGTGATTCAGCGCGCTGGCGGCGGTCATTCCAAAAAAAAAGTTCGGCGTTGTCAGTCTGCCCAGATCTCGGATGAAATGGTGAGCGCGGGTCGCCGTGGTAGACGCGGGATGCGCGCGCGTTTGTGGAGCATGGAAGGACGTGCAAAAGAGACGCGATCCAGCGCGCTGGCGGCAGTCAGGTTACAAAACAAAACGTTCGGCGTGGGCAGTCTGCCCGGAGCTCGAACGAAATGGTGAGCGCGGGCCGCTGTAGTAGACGCAGGATGCGCGCTTTTGTGGAGCATGAAAATACGTGCAAAAGAGACGCGATTCAGTGCGCTGGCGGCGGTCATTACCCCCCCCCAAAAAAAAACACACGTTTGGCGTGGGCAGTCTGCCCGGATCTCGAACGAAATGGCAAGCGCGGAGCGGGCGCGGGGTGCGCGCGATTTTGCGAGTCATGGAAACACGTGAAAAACAGACGCGATTCAGCGCGCTGGCGGCGGTCCCCCCCCCCCCACCAAAAGGAAACACATGCCCGAACAAAAATGCGCTCGGCGTGGGCAGGCTACCCGGATCTCGAACGAAATGGTGAGTGCGGGTCGCCGCGGTAGACGCAGGATGTGCGCGTTTTTGTGGAGCATGGAGAAAAGCACAAAAGACAGGTGGTTCAGCGCGCTGGGGGCGGTTGGCGGTTATCGCAGACCGAAAAAAAGTTGCGCGTTGTCAGTCTGCCCAGATCTCGGATGAAATGGTGAGCGCGGGTCGCCGTGGTAGACGCGGGATGCGCGCGTTTGTGGAGCGTGTAAGGACGTGCAAAAGAGACGCGATCCAGCGCGCTGGCGGCAGTCAGGTTACAAAACAAAACGTTCGGCGTGGGCAGTCTGCCCGGAGCTCGAACGAAATGGTGAGCGCGGGCCGCTGTAGTAGACGCAGGATGCGCGCTTTTGTGGAGCATGGAAAAACATGCAAAAGAGACGCGATTCAGTGCGCTGGCGGCGGTCGTTACCCCCCCCAAAAAAAAAACGTTTGGCGTGGGCAGTCTGCCCGGATCTCGAACGAAATGGCATGCGCGGAGCGGGCGCGGGGTGCGCGCGCTTTTGCGGGGCATGGAAACACGTGAAAAAACAGACGCGATTCAGCGCGCTGGCGGCGCCCCCCCCCCCCCACACCAAAAGGAAACACATGCCCGAACAAAAATGCGCTCGGCGTGGGCAGGCTACCCGGATCTCGAACGAAATGGTGAGTGCGGGTCGCCGCGGTAGACGCAGGATGTGCGCGTTTTTGTGGAGCATGGAAAAAAAACACAAAAGACGTGGTTCAGCGCGCTGGGGGCGGTTGGCGGTCATCGCAGACCGAAAAAAAGTTGCGCGTGGGCAGTCGGCCCGGATCTCGAACGAAATGCTCGAACGAAATGGTGGGTGCGGGTCGTTGTAGTGGGCGCGGGATGAGCGCGTTTGCGGAGCGTGGAAGAACGTGCAAAAGAGACGCGATCCAGCGCGCTGGCGGCAGTCAGGTTACAAAACAAAACGTTCGGCGTGGGCAGTCTGCCAGGAGCTCGAACGAAATGGTGAGCGCGGGCCGCTGTAGTAGACGCAGGATGCGCGCTTTTGTGGAACATGAAAAAAAAACATGCAACAGAGACGCGATTCAGTGCGCTGGCGGCGGTCATTACCCCCCCCCAAAAAAAAAACACGTTTGGCGTGGGCAGTCTGCCCGGATCTCGAACGAAATGGCAAGCGCGGAGCGGGCGCGGGGTGCGCGCTTTTGCGGGGCATGGAAACGCGTGAAAAAGAGACGCGATTCAGCGCGCTGGCGGCGGCCCCCCCCCCCCCCCACCACACCAACAGGAAACGCACGCCCGAACAAAAATGCGCTCGGCGTGGGCAGGCTGCCCGGATCTCGAACGAAATGGTGAGTGCGGGTCGCCGCGGTAGACGCAGGATGTGCGCGTTTTTGTGGAGCATGGAAAAAAGCACAAAAGACAGGTGGTTCAGCGCGCTGGGGGCGGTTGGCGGTTATCGCAGACCGGAAAAAAGTTGCGCGTTGTCAGTCTGCCCAGATCTCGGATGAAATGGTGAGCGCGGGTCGCCGCGGTAGACGCGGGATGCGCGCGTTTGTGGAGCATGGAAGGACGTGCAAAAGAGACGCGATCCAGCGCGCTGGCGGCAGTCAGGTTACAAAACAAAACGTTCGGCGTGGGCAGTCTGCCCGGAGCTCGAACGAAATGGTGAGCGCGGGCCGCTGAAGTAGACGCAGGATGCGCGCTTTTGTGGAGCATGAAAAAAACATGCAAAAGAGACGCGATTCAGTGCGCTGGCGGCGGTCATTACCCCCCCCCAAAACAAAAAAACACGTTTGGCGTGGGCAGTCTGCCCGGATCTCGAACGAAATGGCAAGCGCGGAGCGGGCGCGGGGTGCGCGCGCTTTTGCGGGGCATGGAAACACGTGAAAAAGAGACGCGATTCAGCGCGCTGGCGGCGGCCCCCCCCCCCCACCAAAAGGAAACACATACCCGAACAAAAATGCGCTCGGCGTGGGCAGGCTACCCGGATCTCGAACGAAATGGTGAGTGCGGGTCGCCGCGGTAGACGCAGGATGTGCGCGTTTTTGTGGAGCATGGAAAAAAGCACAAAAGACAGGTGGTTCAGCGCGCTGGGGGCGGTTGGCGGTCATCGCAGACCGAAAAAAAGTTGCGCGTGGGCAGTCGGCCCGGATCTCGAACGAAATGCTCGAACGAAATGGTGGGTGCGGGTCGTTGTAGTGGACGCGGGATGAGCGCGTTTGTGGAGCGTGGAAGAACGTGCAAAAGAGACGCGATCCAGCGCGCTGGCGGCAGTCAGGTTACAAAACAAAGCGTTCGGCGTGGGCAGCCTGCCCGGAGCTCGAACGAAATGGTGAGCGCGGGCCGCTGTAGTAGACGCAGGATGCGCGCTTTTGTGGAGCATGAAAAAAACGTGCAAAAGAGACGCGATTCAGTGCGCTGGCGGCGGTCATTACCCCCCCCCAAAAAAAAAACACGTTTGGCGTGGGCAGTCTGCCCGGATCTCGAACGAAATGGCAAGCGCGGAGCGGGCGCGGGGTGCGCGCTTTTGCGGGGCATGGAAACACGTGAAAAAGAGACGCGATTCAGCGCGCTGGCGGCCCCCCCCCCCCCCCCCCCCCCACCACACCAAAAGGAAACGCATACCCGAACAAAAATGCGCTCGGCGTGGGCAGGCTACCCGGATCTCGAACGAAATGGTGAGTGCGGGTCGCCGCGGTAGACGCAGGATGTGCGCGTTTTTGTGGAGCATGGAAAAAAGCACAAAAGACAGGTGGTTCAGCGCGCTGGGGGCGGTTGGCGGTTATCGCAGACCGGAAAAAAGTTGCGCGTTGTCAGTCTGCCCAGATCTCGGATGAAATGGTGAGCGCGGGTCGCCGTGGTAGACGCGGGATGCGCGCGTTTGTGGAGCATGGAAGGACGTGCAAAAGAGACGCGATCCAGCGCGCTGGCGGCAGTCAGGTTACAAAACAAAACGTTCGGCGTGGGCAGTCTGCCCGGAGCTCGAACGAAATGGTGAGCGCGGGCCGCTGTTGTAGACGCAGGATGCGCGCTTTTGTGGAGCATGAAAAAAACATGCAAAAGAGACGCGATTCAGTGCGCTGGCGGCGGTCATTACCCCCCCCCCCAAAAAAAAACACGTTTGGCGTGGGCAGTCTGCCCGGATCTCGAACGAAATGGTAAGCGCGGAGCGGGCGCGGGGCGCGCGCGCTTTTGCGGGGCATGGAAACACGTGAAAAAGAGACGCGATTCAGCGCGCTGGCGGCGGCCCCCCCCCCACCAAAAGGAAACACATACCCGAACAAAAATGCGCTCGGCGTGGGCAGGCTACCCGGATCTCGAACGAAATGGTGAGTGCGGGTCGCCGCGGTAGACGCAGGATGTGCGCGTTTTTGTGGAGCATGGGAAAAAGCACAAAAGACAGGTGGTTCAGCGCGCTGGGGGCGGTTGGCGGTTATCGCAGACCGAAAAAAAGTTGCGCGTGGGCAGTCGGCCCGGATCTCGAACGAAGTGCTCGAACGAAATGGTGGGTGCGGGTCGTTGTAGTGGACGCGGGATGAGCGCGATTGTGGAGCGTGGAAGAACGTGCAAAAGAGACGCGATCCAGCGCGCTGGCGGCAGTCAGGTTACAAAACAAAGCGTTCGGCGTGGGCAGCCTGCCCAGATCGCGAACGAAATGGCGAGCGCGGGTCGCTGCAGTGGAAGCAGGATGTGCGCGCCCCTTGTGGAGCATGCAAAAACGTGCACAAGACAAGTGATTCAGCGCGCTGGCGGCGGTCATTACAAGAAAGCGCTCTGCGCGGGCAGTCGCCCCGGATCTCGAACGAAATGGTGAGCGTGGGTCGCTGTTGTGGACGCAGGATGTGCGCGCGTTTGTGGAGCTTGGAACAACGTGCAAAAGAGACGTGATTCAGCGCAGGCCCAGCCGCGTCCTCCGTTGCCGCATCATGCGGCGCTGGAGATCGCGGGCGGGGCGATCGTGCTGGGGCCCCCGTGGGTGACCATCATGGCGGCAGCTTCTCACGCGCGCTGCCTCCGACCCATCGAGGCCATGGCCCTCGTCGGCAAGAGCGCCGTGGCAGCGGTGCCAGTTGCCGGCGCAGGGTGCGCGATGATGGGCCCGGTCTTGCACGAGACCCCTTCGGGGCGCCGGGGAAGACAGGGGCCTTCGACGACGCCGTCGCGATCGACGACCGCTGGCCGTGGGGGCCCTTCCTCGGGCCGAAGGCCGCCGGCCACCCCGGCCGCGCGCTCTGGGATTTCAGCAGCGCGCTGCGCCGCGAGGCGTCCGCCGCGGCGGCCGAGGGCCCGGGGCCGGGCCCGTTCGAGCCCCACCCCTGCCGGCTCCGACGCTGATGCACCGCCGAGGACCTGGCGACGCAGAGGGGGGCGCCCGAGCAGGCGACGCGCAGAGGCCGCTGGACCGCGTCGACGTCGCTCGAGAGGTGCGGAAAGGAGACCAAGCTGCTTCTCGCGATTACGCAGATCTCTCCATTTGCGTCAGCTTCGGAAGCGAGGCCCCCCCGAACTTCAGCCAGGCGATCCAGAGCGGAGTCAGGGGCCGGCGCAGTCAGCTCCCTATGCCCACGCAGCTGGAGTCGGGCGTCAGGCGCGAGGTGTCGAGGCTGCCCGGTATCCTATTGGATCAGGCCCCCACGCTGCGCCAGAGGTAGGGACCGCCCAATAGGTGGGCAGATATTTCCAACGCCTGCTAACCAGAGCTCGGAGAACGCGACCCACAGCCGACGTGTTATTTTCCTGGATTTTTTTCGCCGGGGATGGTGGCAGCGGCCGTTGTATACGTTCCAAGGGGTTTCCTGTTCTCAGCCTGGACATCCGAAACCATTCTCTTCAGGGCCACCTGAATCCCACCGTCCAACTCCGATTCAGCTCAGAAACGAAACCTACGCATTGTCTTCCCAGGTTATCGTTTTGCTACTCGCTATAACACGCCTGCGGTGCTCGAGAATCCCGGTGCATCTACAATGTGGCGGGCGCCGCAGTTGTGCTGTCTCTTACGCCGCAGCTTGTGTTGCGCATGCTTGCGATATGTCACCCGCGTCGCTATGTGGAATGCGGGGAGTATGTATCGAATGTTTGCGCCGACCTCACGGTAAGATATGCTCACGGTCCAAGAAACCGCACATTGAGTTGACGGGCGAGACAGATCAAGGGATACATTGGACAGCTATCGCAGCCGCTTGCCCTGCCAAACTCTGCCGCATCTTGGGTCAACATTTTATCGACGTTATACAGGACAACAAACAATCTAGAATGAATGGAATTCTTGGAGCGCGGCCTTCGGCCAGTTGACCAGTCGGGATCGGGTGACGGAGGTTCGGTCTCGACGACTCCACCGTTGCCAGTCGTGAGCCCGACTGCCAAATTTTCCGGAGAAAATGATACCCCCGCGGCCCTGAGTATACTCGCGGTCACTGTTTGGATGGAATGCAGGAAGTGGGAGTGAGGAAGAGCGGGGCCGCACAACGTTGTGGCTTAAGCTCCCGCCCTGATCGTGGTTCACTTGCCCCGCCCGCTTTCTCCTCTAAGCCTTGCTTCTTTTCTCTCCCAGGGGTGACAGAGGCTCGGCTTCGACGACCCCACCGCTGCCATTCGCGAGCCCGGCTGCTTCGCCTCCTCCTGAGAAAAAGATGTCCCCATGGCCCCGAGGGTGCTTACGGTCACTTTGTATTAATACGGACCTTGCGGAAATCCTGCCCCCCTTCGAAACGGGGCCCCACAGGTCCGTGGCCCCGGGGCCCTTTGGACGCCCCTGCAGGAGGCCCCCCAAGTTTTCCAGAGCCCCTGGAAACCCCATGTTAGGCTTAGGTGACGGGCCCAAATTGGTCATGAGTGCGGCCGAACGTCCCTCCGAGGGCCTAAGAAGCCCCAGACACCCACAAGCCGCCCGAAGAGGACCCAAAGAAGACCCCCAAAGAGGCTTTCGAAACGCAGAAACATTGTTTTCCAATGGTTTTTGTGTGATTTTGGGAGTGTCCTGTTCTTCGGTCTTCTGGGCGTCCGAGACCGCCGATGAGGCCCGAACATTTCCCAAAAAACTACCCGAAAAGGGCTTCGAGGCAGTCCAAGAGAGCCCCAAGACGGCCCCCAAACGCCTCCCCGAAGTATTCGTGACCTGGTCGTTCAGGGAGACCGCGATTGGAAGCAGGATGGCCCGAGGAAGTCCCCAGATGCCCCCAGAAGGCGCCCATGAGGCCTCCAGAAACCCTTTAGAAGCCCTTTTTAAAATCTTTCGTGAGGCCGTCAAGAGGCTCTCCAAGGAGGAGCCTCCGCAAAAGACAAATTTGGCATACAGGCGAATAGGCAGGAAGGTAACATGGACAATTTAGCGATGACGCATTGATGCTTTTTCCGGCATCGCCGTTACAATAATGTGATTCGTTCTCCCGCCCTCATGTTTCTTCTTTCTCTTCTTCATTGTCGCCCTACCCTGCGCAGTCTTCCCAATCCTCCTGCGCTCTTTTTGCGGCAGCTTCTCCTTGGAGAGTTTCTTGAGGGCCTCATGGAAGTTTTCAGGCTTTTTGAAGGCCTTCTGGAGGCCTCCTGGGCGCCTTCTGGGGGCCTCGGGGGGCTTCCTCGGGCCACCCTGCTTCCAATCGCGATCTCCCTGAACGACTGGGTCACGATTTGGAATGCTTCGGGGGGCGTCTTGGGGGCATCTTGGGCCGTCATGGGGCTCTCTTCGGGCCATCTTGGAACCCTGTTGTGCCGTCTTGGTGCTCTCTTGGACTGCCGGGAAGCCCTTTCGGATGGTTTTGGGGCGATTTTCGAGCTTCCCAGGCGGTCTCGGACGCCCAGAAAACCGAAGAACAGGGCATTCCCCCAATCACGCAAAACCTAAGACAATCAATGTTTTTCTGCGTTTTGTAAGCCTCTTGGGGGTCTTTTTTGGGTCGTCTTCGGGCGTTTGGTGGGTGTTCGGGGCCTTTTGGGGCACTCGGGGGGGCGTTCGGCCGCCCTGCTGACCGATTTGGGCCCGTTGCCTAGGCCCAGCAAGGGCTTCCAAGAGCTCTGAAACGCCGGGGGGGCCTCCTGCAGGGGCGTCCAGGGGGTCCCCGAAGCCAATGGATCCGGGGGGTCCAGAGGGGTCCGGGGGCCCTGGCTCGGGGGCTCCTATTGCGGGGAGGGGGGGGTCCCGCATAATAAGATTATACGAAAGGTAATATGTACACGTGTGTGTTTCTTGATTGCATATGCGTTTATGAGTGGAAGAGCAGCTTGCCTCTGGGATCGTTGCCCGCCGTCACCGTGAAGCTGGTCGTCGGCAACATAACGCTGGATGTCGAGCCGCTGAAGCTGTGGACGCTGCTCCGGGAGTTCGACCTCCTGCCGACCTGGAACGCGTCGTCCATCGGCGTGGATGTGGAGGCGTGGCGAAGCTCTGGGGGTGCCCTCCGGCTTACCAGCCTGAGACAATTCCCAATCCTTAAGATTGGCATCACCTCATCGGTGCCGATCTTGAGCATCCCCCCCCCCCCGAGTTTCTGAAGGTGCATCCTTGAGATTGTCATCACCTTGGGCTGGTCAGTCTCAGGGATGGGGGTGAGCTCGGGGCTGGCTATTGGTAACCAGGTCTTCTGACCGCCTCCAGGTTCCTCTTATGTCGAAGACCCCAGGGCCATAGCTTTCTAGGCCACGGGACATGCTTCAAGCTACAAGCGACGCGGGGCTACGAGGGCCCAGCCAGACACCCACGTGGAGCCAGCTTGAGCTTAGTTTTGCGCATCCCAGTGGGCGCCTGCCAGCCCCACTTCTTTCAGCCGAACATCATTGCTTGCATTGTGACGCTGGGGCCTCGACCCTGTTGGTCCCCTCGCGTGGGTATTCCTGCGGGCACCGTCACCGTCATCGCGAACCTATGATGACGTGTTTGGGGCCCCAGGGCCTCGCGGAGGCGGTGGAATCGCTACCCAATAGGCGTTTCCCTGGGGCTTCGTCAGAGGCAAGCTTCGCATCTCATTGTGATTTCTACCATTGCCGGAACAAGCCGGTGGTACCCAGGTTTATGAACCCAACGGAGTCGTATTTGGAGCGCACTTACGTCGACGCGCTTGCCGAGCACGGCAAGTTGATGGTGGTGGGCCGGTGCCCTGCACAGTCCACCTCGCAGCACTGCGGTCTGGACATCCCACCAGTGCCGCGGAAGGTGAACCGGGTCGCCACCGCCTTACACTGCCTTTCGCTGACCAGGTCCAATTCGATGATATATCTTGCCGATTCGTCGATCGATCAGGATCGAGTCTGTAGATCGGGTCTTCCATCGTCGAATGTTCCAGCGCTCTGGGATGGATCAGCCGTATCGGGAGAGAGTTCACAGCATCACATGCAAAGGTTCACTAAGTGTCACGATGAAGTCATGAAGGATGGAGGACATATGGTGCACCTCCGGTAGGTGGCGGCAGGCATGTGGTGCCAACCGTTGGTTGTCGAAACAGGCCAGCACCAGGGACGGTGGTGTTTTTGCCAAAACGGAAGCAGTCTCTCCCTCATTTCATGCAGAACCACCTAAGGGAGCCCCCCCTGGGTTAACAAGGGAGTTGGAGCGCCCTTCCCCCAGGGGAAGGCCGGCGAGACCGCAGTGGTTGAGTCAGCACCCTCCCCCTGGCGCACCGAAACCGTGACACCAATCGGTACTGAGAGCCCACCGAACCAAGACGCAACGATATGTCTGCGGCCTGGATGCGTGGATGGGCCTGGGCCGGGATACCGAAAGGGGGGGTGCGTCTAAGTTCGCCACATCTTGCGACGTGCTGACGCCGATGAAGGAAAAGCAGGTCTTGCTGACCTCCCACAGGAAGCTGAAGACGCCCGTCAGAAATTTACCACTGTGGGTGGTCCGGCAGGGCGCCAGCACGTTGACCAAAGGCAACGTGACAGGCTTCCAGAAGGCGCGACGGACACTCGAACATTCCGACCGCAACGATTGCCAGCGTGGATCTTAAACAGTGAGCTCTTGCACTTCCTATGTGCAATATTCGCGGTGTTGTATGTGCATGGTGTAACCTATGCGTTGCAATCTGTATAATTGTGTAGGTGTGTGTGTGTGAATATATATATATATATATATATATATATATATATATATATATATATATGTATATATATATATATCCTTTTCCCTATCAAATGATAAGGGACCCCCCCCCCCCGGATGGGCGTCACCTAATTCGCCACCCCCCCGGACGGGCTCAAGACAAACCCGAGAATGCCTGAAATTACCGCCAAGCTGGTCCGACCGGCTCCAGAAGCCTTCCATCACGCCCACAGATCGCTCTAAGATGCCCCAGTTCGTCACAAGACGGCCCAAGAGGCCTCCAAGACGCCCCACACGGCCCCAAGACGGCCCAAGACGGAGCAACCGTCGACGTGAACCAAAAATTGGTTCGGCCCGTTGGGTGGCTCCGCGCCCCGGGACATGCTCTTTCCTTGCGAAAACCCACACCCACGACAGCCCCTCGACGCCGACGTGCCCTGAGGGCGCTAGAGGCCCCCCATCCTGGGCCCGAAAAAGAACAAACAGCCGTCAACGTGAACCAAAAATTGGTTCGGCCCGTCTGGTGGCTCCGCGCCCCGGGACATGCTCTTTCCTTACGAAAGCCCACACCCACGACAGCCCCTCGACGCCAGCGTGCCCTGAGGGCGCCAGACGCCCCACATCCCGGGCCCGAAGAAGAACAAGCAACCGTCGACGTGAACCAAAAATTGGTTCGGCCCGTCGGGTGGTTCCGCGCCCCGGGACATGCTCTTTCCTTACGAAAGCCCACACCCACGACAGCCCCTCGACGCCGGCGTGCCCGGAGGGCGCCAGACGCCCCACATCCCGGGCCCGAAGAAGAACAAGCAGCCGTCAACGTGAACCAAAAATTGGTTCGGCCCGTCGGGTGGCTCCGCGCCCCGGGACATGCTCTTTCCTTACGAAAGCCCACACCCACGACAGCCCTTCGACGCCGGCGTGCCCTGAGGGCGCCAGACGCCCCACATCCCGGGCCCGAAGAAGAACAAGCAACCGTCGACGTGAACCAAAAATTGGTGCGGCCCGTCGGGTGGTTCCGCGCCCCGGGACATGCTCTTTCCTTACGAAAGCCCACGCCCACGACAGCCCCTCGACGCCAGCGTGCCCAGAGGGCGCCAGACGCCCCCCATCCCGAGAACGAAAAAGAAAAAGCAACCGTCAGCGGGAACCAAAAATTGGTTCGGCCCGTCGGGTGGCTCTGCGTCCGCGCACATGCTCTTTCCTTACGAAAACAGACACACACACACGCACGCACATGACGGCCCCTCGGCGCCAGCGTGCCCGCAGAGCGCCAGACGCTCCCATCCGGGGCCCCGAAGAAAAAACAGCCGTCGACGTGAACCACAAATTGGTTCGGCCCGTCGGGTGGTTCTTCACTTCCAAACATGTTCACTCCCTACAAAAACACACACCCACGCAGCCCTGAGCCGTCGAGCTCGCGAAAAACATCAAGTTTACACCCCTATGGCAATGAAGGTTCACGAGCTCGCCACATTCTGTGACCACATAGCGCGGCGAGGCACCAGACCCGCGCTCCTGCGCCAAGGATGAGGATGAGGGGCAAGATGTTGTTGCGAAGCGAAGCGAGCCAACAATATCTTGTGTATATCTATATATATATATAGTCCATCGAAGATCCCCTGGCTTGTTGCCCCAAGACGAGAGTCTTGTCTTATTGTGCACGGATGGGGCGGGTGAGGTGGACGGAGAGGAAGATGATGAGGTGATGAACGGAGAGGCGGGCGGGCGAGCGGGCGGGCGGCGGACGGGCGGGCGGGCGGCGGGCGGTTCGGAATTTGATAGACTCCTTAAGGATTCTCTCTTGCAGTGGGAGCCAGTTGAATACAGGGTGTTGTCTTGGAGACGGGAGCTGTGAATACAGGGTGTTGTCTTGGAGACGGAGGCTGTCGAATACAGGGTGGTGCATGCCGCACGAAAGGCGGGCGGGCGGGCGGGCGGGTGGCGGGCAGGCGGGTCGGGATTTTAATAGATTCCTGAACGATTCTCTCTTGCAGCGGGAGCATATTGAGTACTGGGTGTTGTTTTGGAGACGGAAGTTGTTGAGTACAGGGCTTTTTCTTGGAGGCGGAGGCTGCCCCCTCAAGATTCATGGAACTTGAAAAGGACGGGTCTTTCGGGGAACCGCACGAAAACGTGGACATTGAGAAAACTGATTGGGGGATTTTGAATGTATTGTTCTATATATATATATATATATACATATACATATATATATATATGTGTACATATGTGTATATACACATATATGAGCGTATACGTTTATATGGTACCATCTATGTGCGATGGGGTGAAACCTACGGTGTGCAGTCAATCACTTGCCGAACTTGAAGCTGTCAACTCCACTGCTCGCGCAATCACCCCACCCACCCACCCGCAACTTGGTTTGCAAAACCCATGCGGGACCGAACACAAATATCGCTCCGGGGTCGTCTTGGAGCCCTCGGGGGCGTCTCAAGAGCGCCCCAAGAAGGCCGGAGAAGCAAGACGGCCGACGACGACGACGACAACGACGACGACGACGGCGGCGACGACGACGACGCCGACGTCGACGACGACGACGACGACGCCGACGCCGACGACGACGACGAAGACGACGACGACGTCGCCAACGAAGACGACGACGAGGGAGGAGGGAGGACGACGACGGCGACAACGACGACAACGAGGGAGGAGGGAGGACGGCGACGACGCGAACGACGAAGAAGGAGGAAGGACGGCGACGCCGACGACGACAACGACGAGGGAGGAGGGAAGACGACGACGAGACGACGACGACAACGACGACGACGACGGCGACGAAATAGGAGGGACGACGACGAGACGCCGACGACAGACGACGACGACGACGAGGGAGGAGGAGGAAGGACGACCACGGCGACAACGACGACGGAGACGACCACGACGCCAAAGAGGACGACGACGACGACGAACACGAGGAAAGACACAGGACGACGTAGGCGACGACGACGACGACGCGGGAGGAGGGAGGACGGCGACGACGACGACGACGACGACGACGACGCCGCAAGAGCGCGCGCGCACGCTTTTGTTGAAAATCCGTGTTGCGAAACCTTCTGTTTTTGTAGGTTTTCTGGGCGCGCGATTTCGAAATCCTTCCGAAACCGATGGGTTTTGAATGATTTCGGCGTACGCGCGCGACGACGCGAGCGTCTGCACTTCGTCCCATCTGTTGCAGAGGATTCTCGCGACGGCACACGCGCAAGGGCGTTCGACAGATTTCGACGTCCGCGCGCGCGACGCCCGTTTGGTAGCATGTTGTGAAAATCTTGAAAAACCAATGGTTTTCTTAAGATTTCGCAAGAGCTCGCGCGTAAGCTTTCTTAGCAAATCTGTGTTACGAAACCCTGTGTGTTTTTGTATGCTTTTTGGAAACTCGATTGCGAAATCCTTCCACCACCGAAGGTTTTTGAAGGATTCCGGCATGCGTTCGCGACGACGCGCGCGTGTGCACTTCGTCCTGTTTTTTGCAAGGGGTTCGTGGGAAAAGTGCGATGTTAGAGTAAAAATGACACCGCATAGTGCTTTTTTACAAAGGGAACCTCAGAGGGGGGATACCGGTTGGCCTGGGACATTGCGATTTCATATTTAGGATGGACATGTGGCCAGGATCATAGGTGATTTACATACCCGAAAGCGGTAACGATAACGCCGGGGGGGTAGAGTCTATTCTTTGTTTAGAAAAGAGAATTCACCCACCGCGCAACATTCGCGCGTGACCACCTCCCATGCTCGTGCAAACATCCCACCTTCCCACACGCAAGTTGATGACATAGCTCCTATGATAATGATATCAACGAGCGCGCGGGCACGTGGAACTCACCCGCGCAGACGAGTCCGCCCTCCAGGTCACGAAATGCTGGTAGCGATGGTCACGAGCGAGACGCCAACGACGATGGCGATGGCATGGGTGATGACGCTGATGCCGATGGCGATGACTGTGGATATTGGGGCGATACCGTGTCGTCGACGACGATAGTGATGGTGATGAAGATGATGGCACTGCGAATGACGGTGGCAACGATGATGCTGGCGATGCTGCTGATGATGATGATGGTGCGGCTGGCGAGGATGAGGAGTGCTTGCGCGCAGAAATTTGACAAGGGTGACGGTTTCAACAATGGCAGCGGCGACGATGATCCCGAAACTTGTGATGGTGATGGCGATGACGATGATTATGTTGATGATGACGCTGACGATGATGGTGGCGGCAATGCTGACGCTGACGATGATGACAACGATTGTCCGAATGAGGGCGAGAGCGTGCCCGACCGCAAAAGCCCCAAACACGTGATCTGTTTCAACTTGAAAGCCAGTGGATTGCTGCATGCGTTTAAGGGCATACATCCCCGTGAAAAAAGTCTTATCAAAAAATCGCACAGGTATGGAAGCCGAAACGATGCTAAATCAGACCAGGCGGGGCCCGTCGCATCAAATGACATCCGCCTGTCAACGTTACGGAAGAACGTATCGTCTGCATCGCGCGGTGCATGTTAGCCATCCGACTGATGGGAAAGAAACTTCAAAGCAGAACGTGGGACCGCCCACGCCAGCGGCCCCGTGAAGGTTTTACTTGGAAGAGCACCCGAGCATTAAGTGGCGTCCGCCTCTCAATGTTGCCACCCTGCGCGCAAACAAAAAGATGCAATATAAATAACTTGGCCCATGGCGCACGCCTGCGCACGCTGCCAACATTGAAAGGCGAATCTCACTTAATGTTGTTTTTTTGGGCGTTGCCGTTTGCAGATAAGTCACGATGATCGTTTTTATTGACTTTGGTATAAGTTGTGTTCCCGGCTGTGTGGATGTCGACTCTGTTATGGCGTGCTCCAATTT